GTTGACCCCTCCAGTACAACATGTGTAAGGACCGTTGTATACTGTTAGTTCCCATATGTTGTTTTTCCTCTTCATTTTCGATACGCGAACCATCCAATTGCACCCATTTTCGCGTCAGGCACAATAGCATACATATTTTTTTGTCGTCGATCGATTGACTCTGGACTGAACAGAATTACATATATTTTAATTTTTTATAGCCATCACCGCTTCTTGGTTGCTTGAAAACTCCATGCCTAAATATAACTCACCATTATTTATTGATGAGTAATATCCATAGTCACCAAGATGAGGCATATCTGCAAATTCTGGCCCGTACATTGAACCATAATCAGCTTCATACATGTGTGTAGGAGGGTCAGTTTGTGCCACATTTCCTGGAACTTCATCATCATCGGAGTTGAATTGCGGTGATTCTGGGTGAATGAATAGTCTAGTCTCAGCACCATCCGCAGCGGGCTCACGAAGCAGTTCTTCTGGTGGAGATGATGGTTCCTCCATGCTCTCCACATTTAGGTCGGAGAACCTACTACTTGCACGCCTTCCCCTTGAACTGGAAGGCATATCGACATTGAGATCGAAAAAGCTTGCAGACGAATGCCTCCCCTTGGAGCTTGAAGACATCGTGTCAAATGGAAACTGCACGGATGGTTGATTCGATGACATCTCCATATGGTCAAAGAAATTTGCAGATGAATGTCTTCCCCTTGAACTGGACGCGGTGTTGCCATACGGATTATTCGTGGACCCACCTCGATACATATCGTAAGGAGTTGCGGATGAATGTCTCCCCATTATGGCATTAAAATCATTACACATTACTGTAGTCGGGCTGTCAACTTGATCAACTTGTTCAACCAGCTCATAGTGGAAGCTTAATGATTGACCCCAAACAGCACGCACTTAAACAAAATGTGCATACATCTCAATAGTGGCGTCTGAATAATTACTTTGAGCTTCAACCATCATTTGAACATCATCATTGTTCGAAAGTTTGAACGTTGTATAAGTTAATGGCAACAATGATGTTGGAAATCTGTACTGCAACGACGACATTCTTCTACTACTTCCAACATGAATCTTCTTCGAAATCTTCGTTATCAGCTCCTCAAGAGTTATGTTTCTCTTGAATGATATTTTAACACGCTCATTTGATACGAAAACAACGCCGGTTTCATCTTCTCGAATTTCACCATCATAATAAACAATAGCTGAAAGTCGCGTTATTCTTTGAGTTTAAAAGTGCGACAATATTATATCTGCAAAAAAAAATAACTGAAACAAACCTGATTAAATAAATTATATATGAACAAAAATATAACACAATAAATTTTTTACACATCAACATAAATAATTTAAATAATATAATTTTATATTATTACCTGTATCGCAAAACTATTTTGACGTATGCTCCTGCTTTTCAATTTTACAAACATAAAAATTAATTGAAAATAATTAGTATAATATTTTTTTCAAATAATCATAATAAACAATAAGTATAACAAAAAAAATTATAACGAAAAATCGCACGAACTTCTAAATCAAATATGAGAAAATTACCAGAATTATTACTCGTTGACGGAATTGTTGTATTAATTTATAAGTTTAGCTAAATTTTTTCTTTGGATTTTGACTTGAAAAACACCAGGGAGTCTCAAACCAGGTAGCCTTCTCTTTTCAGCCAATAATGCCAATGTCTTCTGATAACAACCCGTTTTTTGCTTTTGCTTAACTAGCAGTTGTTTGATTTCAGGGTATAAAAATGGGGAAATCAGTGATTCTTTTCCTATTGGCTGTTTTGGGTGTGTCCCTGGTGAATGCTGAAGACCCTTACTTGTATTTCACTTGGACTGCCACTTATGGTACTCGTTCCATTCTTGGAGTTCCCCAACAGGTTGGTCGGTGTAAATTAAAAAAAAAGTAATGTGCTTTTGATTCTGGTTTACTAAAGTTCTCATGTTTTTGTTCTCGTGTGAAGGTTATCCTTATCAATAATCAGTTCCCTGGACCAAAACTTGATGCGGTGATTAACAACAACATCATCTTGAATCTCATTAACAAGCTCGACCAGCCTTTCTTAATTACATGGTAAGGCATTGCTTCTTCTCATTGAGATCTTGAGTTTCTTGCTATTAATGAATCTGAGAAATGAAGGGAAGATCCGAGATTTGTCTATAAGATTTTTCTTTGCTACAGGAATGGGGTCAAGTAAAGGAAGAATCATGGCAGGATGGGGTTTTGGGGACTAATTGTCCAATCCCTCCGAACTCAAACTATACCTACAAGTTCCAGGCCAAGGATCAGATTGGATCCTATAATTATTTCCCATCAACATTGATGCATAGAGCTGCTGGAGGATTTGGAGCACTCAATATAATCCATAGGAGTGTGATCCCTATACCTTATGCAAACCCTGCTGGAGATTTCACTTGTTGGTGACTGGTTCAAGACCAACCATAAGGTTTGTCTTCTTTACTGTTATGTTTTTTCTTTCTTTTCTACCTGTAAGTTACCAATTGCTTACTTGACATGCCAAATGTATGTTATAGGATAGGAGAATCTAGGCAGCCATTTGTTCATATACTCCCTTGAAAGAGCTTATAGTCGGTTGAAGTGTGTTTCTTAACGTCGATCCCCATCACTATCCTTTGCCATGAAACTAATCATTTGTTCTTCGTTTTCACTTGGGCAAATCTTTGTGCTCATCATGTATTGTTTTCTGGTTTTCAGACATTGCAGCTATCTTTGGACGGAGGCAACCCTCTTCCCTTCCCCGACGGAATCCTTATAAATGGCCAGACTTGAACATCCTTTAGTGGGAGATCAAGGTCATCATTAAGTCATGTTGCCTTATCATCGTTTTACTAACAATCAAGTTTCGGCGCTTACTTCATAACATATTATTAATTCATGCAACAAATTTATTGTGTTTGAGGCAAAACTTGCATGTTCAGGATCTCAAATGTTGGATTATCCACCTCACTCAAATTTTGGATCCAGAATCATAAAATGAAGCTAGTTGAGGTTGAAGGATCGCACGTGATTCAGAATTTATATGATTCTCTTGATGTACATGTTGGCCAATCCATAACCATCTTAGTGACCTTGGACCAGCTGCCAAAGGACTACTACATCGTTGCATCCACACGATTTACAAAAACTGTTCTCACTGCAACTGCGGTTTTGCACTACACAAACTCGAATGCCCCAGTTTCTGGACCTATTCCAGCTGCTCCTGCAAACCAATTTGATTGGTCAATGGATCAGGCGAGAACATATAGGTACTAGTCCATTGAGATCATATGATTCTTTCTTCAAATCATTTTCGGACTAAAAGAATGATCTTATTTGATTTTTTTTTCTTGAAGGTGGAATTTGACATCAAATGCAGCCAGGCCTAATCCTCAGGGTTCCTTCCATTGCAGGCAGATAACACCAACAAAGACTTTTGTCTTGGCCAACTCGGCATCTTCAATAAACGGGAAGTTGCGTTATGCAGTGAATGGCGTCTCCTATATAAATCCCTATACACCTTTGAAGCTTGATGATCATTTTAACATCCCTGGAGTTTTTAGCACGAATTCCATCAGTGCAGTTCCTTCGGGTCGTGCTGCAACTGTAGCTACCTCTGTTATGCCAACTTCTCTCCATGATTTCATTGAAGTTATCTTTCAGAACAACGAAAACACCATGCAAGCTTGGCATCTCGATGGTTACGATTTTTGGGTTGTTGGGTTAGTTACAATACTCAGTTTGTTTGTTCGATGGTTCGCTTTAATGTACAAGTTCTAATCGTTTGTATTACTATATACACAATTTTGGCGCGGGGCAGTGGACGCCAGGCAGTAGAAAGAGCTACAAATCTAGTCGCTGCTCTTAGGAGACACACTGACTACTCAGGTAACCCACATCAATTACCAAATACAAATCATTTCTCTTTTATCAATGGTGGCTATGAGGTCATGCCTTTACTATGGATCACTCTCTGTTCTGTTGTCATGTTTTCTAGGAGCCATGGTTCTCACGTTTTCAGTTTCGGTTTGGTGAAAAATGATTTGATGCTTCCCCTTTACTCTCATTAGCATTGTGGCGATTCGTCTGATATTTCGAATATCCCATGTTTTCCCCAGCCACAGGAGCTCTGCAAATGTCTCCTACAAGTTGCTGAGAAATATAATTGAGTATTTCACCATGCCTACTTTGTAATAAATACTACATAAAAGAATAAAGAAATTTTCAACTCGAATCGATTTATATTTAAATAAATAAAACATAATTTATGTTATACGAGTAAATATATAATTTTTATATAGTTTTTATTATTTTATGATCGTTTTTTCATCGAGTTTAGTAAAAATCCAATTCGCTACTCAAATTATAATCAATTAGATTTATTAATTTTAATAAGTAAAATGAATTTAGGGAGAGAAATTATCTTTAGTATTTTATAATTTATTCTTTGAAAAAAAAAGATAGTCAAGATAAATATTCATATTTTATGAAGTGAGTCTACTGGAAGCCGGGAGGCATATGACTTTGACTAAAAAATAGCGATATTTTTTTATTTCCATGTATAAAATAATAAAAAAATTATTGATATGATTTAAATATGAATATTTAAAGATTCGAATCTTAACGTAAAATTATTTATAATAAATGGAATCTGTTCTGTGAAAGCTTGCTTATCGAATAATCACCGGAAGCAACGGAGAAAAACAATGCCAGCCTATGAAGATCAATGCCTTGTTTCTCAAGGCAACTATGTCAAGCCCCTTTCCCACGTATTGCAAAGTTTTTCAACCTAGATGTTAACCGCTGCTGAAAATTCAAATCAATCTAGAAACGGTCGTATTTTAAATTCTGGGTTCAGTTGACTGTAGGGTTTTATTCGGTGATTTTTAAACCGATTGATGTGATCCAATTTTGTATTCTTCCACAATGTTAAGGAAAATCTCTCTTATATAAATCCCTCCTTGCAGTAATAACTGAACCAACTGAAAACTGAAGAAAGAGGGGGCATTGAGATCAAGAACTATGGCACATTTTGTTCTGATCCATGGTATATGTCACGGAGCTTGGTGTTGGTACATGCTTGTCTCGCTGCTCCAATCGGCCGGTCACCGTGTCACTCCATTGGACCTCGGTGCCAGTGGAATCAACCCGAAGCAGATCAGCGAGCTGGATTCTGTGTCGGATTATGCTCGGCCATTGATGGAATTCATGGCCTCTTTGCCTCGACACGAGAAGGTGATACTAGTGGGACATAGTTATGGTGGGGTTGTCATTTCCTTAGCCATGGAAAGTTACCCTAAGAAAGTATCAGCCGCTGTTTATCTCACGGCTTTTATGCCCAATCTTCATTCTCCTATTGCAACCGGAGTAGCCGAGGTAAAAAAAAAAAGATTCAGACACGGCCATACGTGTTCGTGTTTGTCGAATTGTCATGTCATGTTTTAATTATTTTTTTGTTCGGATTTTAAACTTTTGGGTGAATTATTTGTGGAGATCAGTTCTTCAAAAATATTTCGTCGGAGCCAAACATGGATTCGCATCTATGGTTTGATGATGGCCCCGAAAATCCACCTACTCGTACCATTTTTGGACCAAAATACATAGCTGCAAAGGTTTATCAACTCTCACCAAAAGAGGCGAGTTTAAAATCAATCTCATTTATGCATATTCTTAAATGATTAGATCAAGATGGTCTGTGGGTGCTGTTGCTCTGATGTTTTCTGTTGTTGGAATTTACAGGACAGAGAATTGGCCATAACGTTGTTGAGACAAGGGAAGTTCTTTATGAAAGATTTGTCCAACGAATCTCTGCTAACAAAAGAAAATTTTGGTTCGGTTAATCGGGTTTATATAGTTTGCAAAGATGATTTGCTGATCAAAGAAAGCTTGCAGAAATGGTACATCGAAAATAGCCCGACAGTCGATGTTAAGTTCATAGATGGATCTGATCATATGGCCATGCTTTCCAAGCCCCACCAGCTCCGCAAACATCTCCAAGAAGTTGCTGAGAAATATAAATGATTCATCAATCAGATAGTTCAGCCTATCATCTTCAAGAGATAGTATATATTATGTATGATCCAAGTTTGGCCACAATACACACACACACATACATGTATGCATGCATAACTCAACTTTATAGCTTCCAAAAGCCAGTTTATTCATCCATTGCATTTATAAGAAATGCAGTCTCCATAGCTGTCTCTTTGCATTGAAGATATCTATTTTTCTCTACTATATCTGTGATTAGATTTAGTATGGGATGTTTAGGGTCATAGATAGTTTGTTCCCGAACTCGAGTGACCCATTTTGCCGCTTCCCATACCCCAAACCTGAAAAAAATGTTAAACCGAAGGCATCAATGCCTACTTCAATTGCAAGGGAAAATATATAACCAACTACAAGACTGAATGCGGTACGAGTTGTCGATGCTGTTTTAATATCTGTTTTAATATCTGTTTTAAAGGCAGAGGGAATAACTTTGTAGCCCTCTTATAACACACACACACGCAGATGGTCTATGATCAAGTAATGAATTTCCGAAATCCAAAGTGATTTATATGCTGTTATTCGATCCTATTCCACCCAATTTGGACCTTCATTGTCCCTAGTTAAGTTATTTGGCATACCTTTTTTGTAGATCAATGTCACAAAACATTAAGTTCAGATAACCGGACAAAGCGCAGTTAACGAGAAGGCTACTTACCTTGTGTTGAAAGATGAGGAGACTAATACTGCTGGATAGAGAGCATCCTTCTGGATATTGTCATAGGAAGAAAATTTCCGAATGGCATAAAACTCATCAATATCCCCAGGGTAACCAAACTCTTCATAATCAGCGGCCGTGAGAGGTAAAATGAGGTATAGCAGAGTGTTGGTTGCATCTAAAAATGGAACCTGAAACAAATCAAAGATGAAATGAGTTTACCTAGAATTATAAAATAAGATAAAAAAAAAACAGCTCATACGCATATGAAAATTAAGACTATGTAGCAAGTATGATTGAGCAGACATGAAAGCAAAAGAGAGATTTGTCATACCTTCAAAACTGCAGCACGGAATAAATCTGGGCAGCAATTGATGGCAGAGGCAACCAGGAGTCCTCCAACACTATATCCCCAACCAACAAGCTTGTTTTCTTGCACAATTTTTTTTTTCAATAAGGTACTTTGCACAAGATATGTAATCTCTAATTGAATTTTGTTTCTTTGTGCGTCGGCCATCATGGTGCCAGTTCTTACCACCGCTGCCACCACCTCTGCAGAACATACCATCCATAAACCAAGAAACAAAGTGCTAAGCATGCAAATATTAAAAACGAAAACAATTCATAAAATAATATAGAAACGAATAGCGCTACAGAAAGGTGAAGGTAACGACAGCCAGGAAGAATTAATATAATTATAATGAAAAACAAACCTTACATCAGCATAAGCAATAATCCAACCCCGATCAAGGAGGCTTTTCAACTCACTACGCCACCGTTTATCAAGTATCTCACCATAAGCTCCATGTCCATGAAGCAATCCGAGGCTTTGATTATCCTTTCTATTTTTTTGTGAGTAAACAATAGTTAAAGGAACCATAGCCCCATCGTAAGAAGAGACATTGTGATGCTCACAAGCATAAAATTCAGAGAGGTCATTCCACAAGTTATTTTCTTCAGATCTGACATCATTCATAGAAGAAAATTTCACATTTGTTGTCTTCTCAGCAATGGCTGAAGACAATGCAGTACCATACAAAATCCGTGTTCTTTCATGAAGCATATTTTGCTGTTGAACAATATTCCACTTCCCATTTGATAAATCATAATCAACCACCGCATCAGGCATCTGTAAATATATATACATATATATAACCCTAGAATATCAGTATCGATGAAAATTGGAATAATGTTAGCATATATGACAAGAAAACCAAAATAAAATAATAAAAATAAAAAATGATAAACAAGATGTGAAAAAAAGTAGACACTAGTTTTTACTTAAAATAATGATTGAAAATCCTGCCATGTGAGCTACAAAATGTCATATTTTTACTCATCCTAGAAGACAAATATGAACAGTTGCTGCTCGCTGGACCATATTCAAATAAAGCAAATATCAATCCAAACCAAAACAATAACGTTTGATCTCTAGATTCCATTCAGGAAACAAATTGATTTAAGCAGATTATTTATTATGTTCAAAACTAAAAACCCAAATTATAAACAATAGAGGCAACATATCTTCCTACACTGATAGCAGACATTTAAGCTCCATTAAGCTTTCTTCAATTTGAAACCATGCTTAACATGTTACATGCATCAAAATTCTACTAAATTATAAAGTAGAGATGATAAAGGAATAGCTGTGGTCAATTAGGAGCTAAATACTGTTCAAATGGTAGTCGTCTACATACCACAGGTGATAATATTGTGAATCGCATGGTTGTGAATTGTAGTCATAGTTTGGTCCAGGAGAAATGCTACAAACATTCTTTGGAAGAGGAAGGAAATGAGGCTGAAGCTCTCGTAGATGAACTGCTTGCTGCCATAAAACAAAAGATATGAAGAGAGTATTGTAAGAATGCAAGAAGAAAGATGAAGCATGAGTGATAAGCAGAACACACACACACACACACACATATTTCCTACCTTTCCATCAGGCAATGGTAGAGCAACAGAGCAGATTCCGTGATTTCGACCTTCCCTTGTAATGAGAACCAAGTGTGACTTGCAGAAATCAACATCCTCTATGACCAAGTCTTTAGAATCAATGAATACATTCTGAGGTCCATAAGAAATGGGATTACATAAATAATGTAGTGAGCATTGGTAGCATTTAGGCAAGAATGTCTACATGTATCAACACATATCATCGTACATTGGTGCAAAAGGATAAAAAATTCATTATGAACCAGGATAATGGGAAAAAAGGAATTAAGGAACTCGTATAGAATTCACCAACCTCCCAAATTCTAGGATTTGATGAAGAATCAACAGGGCTTCGAAGAAGATAGTGATTATCAATTGTTTGTCCATTCTCGGCTGCATCTGTGAATAAATAGAAGTATCCTTGATGATGCTCGAGAATGCAGTGAACAATACCTTAACTCTCCCCAAGCTAATGTCATGCCAGAAAATGGGTCAGCTGCATTTATCAGAAAGACCTAAAATATCATAAAGTTTGTTAACACCATTTGATCATACGATCATTTTACAACAATCTAAGTTGACTACAAGCCAATTTTTCTCTACGGATAACTTTGAAAATGTAGGAGAAAATGTATTAACTGTCACAAAATGGAAATCTTTTGTGTGCCTTATATTTACATAGACATTTTCATCTTTTTCTTCCTGCAGCAGAACATCTTCATCCGTTGATCCAATCATGCTACAGTATATCCTAAACAAAAAAGTTAATTTCCAATTAGCTTTTGTAAAATTCATTTGACAACCAAAAAATAATGAATATATAAGTCAATTGGTTATGAAACAAACAGAGTTTCCACCTATATGGCCTCTTATTTTCATCAGTTACGACATAGAGCAATGCCTGCCCATCCTTGACCCATGCCAAATTCGAAACATGATTTGCATGAAGCTTGCTGCATAATGCCCCAGAATTCAAATTTCTCACTTATAACTTGAAGTAGTCATTGTCCTTATCATACATGGTGTATGCAAGAAACTTATGATCCGGTGATACCTCCGATAATTCTTCATAAGCATAACCTTTAAACATATTGAGAAAGTAATGTAAACAAATTCTCAGAAACAAATAAATAAAGAGGGCAATCTTCCATTTTCTTCAATACCTCCAAATCTTTCAGCTTCTTGATTGTAATCAAGCAGCTTCTGCTCAATCCTCTTCCCAGAAGTAAAATCAAATCCAGAACTTGGAGACTTGTGTGAAATGAACTCCTCGTTCAAGCTCGCTAACCTCCTACATAGCACTGTATATTGCTTCCCTTCTTCCACTCTTCTATAATACAAACTGCAAACTTATTTAGATTTCAACTAATACAGCAATTAACGTTCATATGATAAAAAAAACTAAGCCCCTATGACTTCAATTATACATACAATAACACTTCCATTAGAACAAGCATAATACAATTCGACTTTCCATTAAAGAAAAGCTTAACAGTTCGTTCTAGGAGCAAATAAATTACATTGTATCTGACAGCATTTAGCATTCTCGTCTAATAAAAAAGACTTGTAAGAAGCTAACCAATCTGAACCTAAGAAAACTCGAGGTTTTACAAGATACCGAATTTGACAGATTCTATTTCTAAACAAAAAGTGCTAAGAATGGAAAGATTGAAGGAAGTACCAGGGACCCCAACGGACTGGAGGCGTAGAGAGATCAAAATTCAATCGAGAAGCCATCTCAGACTGTAGCTTAGTTTGGAGTCGTTCAGTGTCCGACATGACAGCCTCGGTGTACTTCTCTTCTTGTTCCATGTACATGTCCATATGCAGCTTGGCGACTTTGTCTTGGAGAGAACAAATCCAGGAGTAAGGATCTTCCCAGGTGACATAATGGAAAGTGAATGTTTGTGGTTTTTGGGCTCAAACCTCCACTTTTGAAATTACATCAATCCGACTAAATTAATTTAATGACATTAATTACATGATGTAATGATTATATCGTTTTATTATTTATTTTTTGGTATATAAAAGTTTAGGTTAAGGGTGACTCTCCAGTCCAGGGTCAGGATATACCTAAGACCCAATTGAGATTTACATAGGACTTTACAGATTACTTACCAAGAGTGACGGTGGTGAGATTCGAACTTGGCCTTACAATCTCAAATTCCTGAATCTCAACCACTTGTGCCAACACTCATTGACGTTTTATTATTTATTTATATTAATCAATGCTAACATCTCCATTTTGTAACATTATTTTTTTCCTAAAAATTTTGATGCAATTTTTATACTACCGATAAATCTGACGACGGAGATCAACAAAAAAAAATATGGTCATTTTGTAGAAACAAGTTCGAGTGTGGACTTGTTAAGCACGAGAGAGTTCTTTAAATGAATAAGGAGTGTTTTATTGTTCTTCGGTTTATAGCTGCTTTCAACGCATGAGGAACAAATTTGTGATTTATTTATTTATTTTTGGACAGTTTAAAACTCTGTAGACTTGTCTTATAAAACTGGCCATCGTCCGACATTTGATATGAAGTCGAATGTGAACAGTGGCTGCCACAAATCAAAGCGGTCATAGGAAGTTGGGTGACGTGAATCAATGAATTCAAAATAAATAAACAAAAAATAAGCGAACGCTAGACTAGTCAAAGTCAAACCGATATTTAAGGGATTTTTTTTGGGAGTCCCAACATTTCACCTCTTCTATCTCAAATAGGGGTGATGAGTCGATCAACCAAAGAAAGTATATTTGATGACTAATCGAGAATTATGAGTTGGCCCGTATTTTCTTTAGCACTTATAATTTTTAATTTATTCAATTAGGTCCTCAAATTTTCAGTTAGTAACTTGGAATTTTAATTCTTGTTTTACGAGGGACCGAATTTATATTGATCACTAACTTAAGAGTTAAAATGAAAAGTGATTTAATTTATCGAGGGGATAGGTCTTAAACCCATTTGGTAGAGGAATTCCCGGTGAACACCCAACTTTATCTTCTAAGTTCAATGTGGTCAAACGAAGACATGGAAAGACTCAGTATACATTCTTATCTATCCATATGACAAATAATATACATGCATAAGAATGAGCTTTTGCTCTTAATGGATTTATAGCTCAGATTTTGGGTGCTCTTGGTGAGAAGGACTTGATGAATCCACCGACATGAAAGGATGAACTTTACACTCTTAATGAATTCATAGCTCAGGATTTGAGTGGTCATAGTGAGACGAACTTGATGAATTCACCGAATCTTAAAAAAAAAAGAGGTTGAGCTGTCTAAATGCTCTTATTAGTTTCATATTCTTGATTTGGGTGGTTTATATTGAGATATACATGATGAAATCACATACGTAAGTGTGAAGAACTGACAACTTCTATGAAATATATTGGGTTACCTTTGTAGAGCACTTACTAGCATCGCGAAGTATATTGGCTAAATTGATTGGTCTATCACATAACTCAATTGGATATGAGATTAGTCATGTGTCATAAGTTTACTCCTATTTTAACAAGTTCAATATCCATTCATTTGTTAATTGAAGAATTGTTTGTTTCACTACGTATTAGTTTAAATCTAACAGATACTAGTGCTTAAGTGATTAATTTCGTTGTTATTTTTTCTCATTTTCAATAATCTTGTATTTATTTGCATTAGTTGAGGATTGTTAGATAGTGCAAATAATTGAATAAAAATTAAATATCTTTTAGAAAATATTTTTTCTATATTTGAAAGATATTGAAAAAGTAAATGAGATTTTTTTATAACATCATTTATTTATTACTTATTTACCCCTTATATATTTCATTATAAATATCAATCTATGTTTCACTATTTGATATACCAACTTCTTCTTTTCTCTCTACGATTCTCTTTTATTTTTTCTTCGAAAAGAGCAATGCTAAACGACTTCTATTTCCTTATTTTGGGTATACGAAATTTGGAAAAATGTGTTAACCTCGGGGGACAACGTCAACTTTTGGGATTACATCAATCCGGATGAAATTACTTCTAAGACAGTGATTACATGGCAAAATGATTATATCGTTTTATTTTATTTATTCATTTATTATTTATGTTAATCAATGCTAACATCTCCATTTTCCAACAATATTTTTCTAACATATGTGAGTATTAAGACTAAATGGATGGTACAATATATTCTTAAAAAAGATGTACAACTTGATTTTTAAGATTATATAATTTTACTTTTGGTTGAGTTGTGAGAGTACACTTTAACTTCTGTTAGGCCTTATATTTCAATCAAAATCCTTATTGCATTTGAGATTAGTTAGACCTTATATTTCAATCAAAATCCTTATTGTATTTGAGATTATATTATGACTTATATGAATGGTTGATTTTTGTTTTCTTATATTTATGATGAATTTTAGACTTATTAAAAGTATTTTTTTCCTTTTCGTATAATCCTTTTTCCCTTTTTTTATTAAAAGTATTTATTTTCTTATAATCCCTTTTCCCTTTTTTGGTGTGTGTGCAGGATTAAGATTATAATTTATAAAATAAAAACAAATCACGAGAACTGTTAAATTATCAAGACATTCATTTCTCAAGTGTTGTATGACTTCAAAATAAAATAAACACAAACTCAATTTATTGGATGTAAACAT